CACTGACGCTGACCAAGTGGGTCCTCAGATAATTTCTAAAAACTAAATTAAATTTAAAACTGATGGATAATTTTAATTACAAGTTTTACAAAAAAAAGTTAAACATTTCAAATTGTGCTCAATCTGTTATTTAGATTTTGAGGGTGGACTCTCAGCTACCACCTGATCTAATTTTAGCTTAATACTTGTACAATTTTATGAAGACACTTTTTTTGTCTTTGTTAATTAGTTCTGGTGGCCATCATGAATCATAGCTACTCAAAAAGAAATCAGTTGTAGTCGTATACCCACTGATTATTTTCTGAGAGTTTCGTTTACATCAATTCAGTGGTTCACAAGATATTTTGCTAACAGACAAGCAAAAAAAACATAGGCAGTTACACAAATATTTTTAACCTTTTAATAGCAGATGATGATTAAAAAGTAGTATAAACGTAGTCAAGATTGTGTTGCTATTTTTATCTTAAAGTTATTAGCAATATTTCTACCCAAATCATCAAGGGTTTGTGTCATATGCCTCCAAACATTTTTTTTAATTATTTTTTTAGTTCAAAATATAAAAGGTTTGGAACCACTGGTATTAATCTCTTGAACAATGTAGTGTCTGTCTGCTAAAATATTCAAATTAACCAAATATAAAATACATAACTTTTTTATTATTGTTATTGCATTATTTTAAGAAAATTAAGTGTATTTTAAACTATGATTATGTGCATTAGAGTCATAATTTCAATAACAGTAAGAGTCTCTTGTACAATAACCTCTAAGAAAAAAATATATATTGCGATAAGGAGACCTAGACATGGCACTAAACATCAGCTCAGTTTTGTCAGATTTGCAGAAGTCGAGAAGGAAAAGAAAAAGGCAGAACTAATATTCATGACATCTCCAGCTGCAGAAGGAAAGTCAGGTTCCAGCTGAGTTTAACTGAAACTTAATAATATTCAGGTGTATTTTAAAAAGTCACTTTATTCTCCTCAATCTATTGAACATTACTTGTGTTAATTTTGTTGTAGAGCAAAACTATACGAGTCCCAAACTGAAGATGAATCAAGTCCCTCAGAAGAAGCCTCCTCTCTTTCAATTACACAACCCTGTGTCTCTGAAAAACCTGATTCACCTGAAGGCACGGATGAAGAAGAAATAAATATGGCGAAGAAACTCTCCATTTCAGGTCAAAAAGAACTCTCGGGAAATAAATTGGTTGCAGATATTCAGTCAGATGAAGAAAACACTGCAGACTTGGAAGAAGATCCAACAAAAAACACACCTGATGAAGTTGACAGGTCAGATCCTGAAAGGGATGACAACCAAAATGTACCTCAATTTGACTCAGATCCCAATATTTTATTGTCACTCAGAGAAATGTCAAATGTAGATGTGACCCCTCATGAGTTAGACCTGCCTAGTGACGAAGAAGGTGATCAACAAGAAAGTGAAACTGTAGATGTGGAGATTATAGATTCAAACAAAGAACAAAACATGGAAACTGGTAAACCGGTTGAGTTCCGTCCATTATCTGGACTAGCTGATGTGAACATTTGTGCCACAGATCTCGAAGGAACACAGGAAACAACCGAGGGAGGCACTGTTCAGGAAAGTACATATGTTGTTGAAGGTGACAAAAGTACAACCCCCCAGCTAGAAGAAAATGTTGAATTATCACAGTCAGAATTGGAGTTTACTCAAAGCAGCCAACAAGAAGAAAAGGATCAGGCACAGAAAAACCCAGAGGAGGATCAAACAGAGGCTAAAGCGTCTTATGAGAAATCTAATGAAGGATTYTCACTTTCTGAGAATGATTCTGATGACAGTGTTATACCAAAAACTTCTATGGTTGAGAATAGCTTTGAAGATGTTCCAGAAGCTCAGGGCATTGATGAAGTCGAGGAGGAAAAACTTCTGGAAGATGCTACAGTGGAGATCTTACAGAATAACAAATTAGAAACACAACAAAAAGAAGAGTCCATGGAGCTTACTGCACCTTTGGCAGATTATAATATATCTGATTCAGAAGATCAGCTTAAATTTGAAACAGCAAAAGACAAAACGGAGGGCAATACAGACGAGGAGGAAATCCATGCAGCGTGTCCTACAATGAAGGAAATGGTGGATGCAAACGCCTCAAATCTAAAGGATAGTGATGATGATGAAATGGGTGTTAAAGGCATCATCTCATCYGATCAGCCCACCACAGAGGCAGAAGATGAAATTCAAGAACACGAAACAGATCATGAAGATGCTGAGGAAATATTTGAGGGGATATTGTCCCAAAATCAAGAACCTAAAAAAACGCAACCATCGAAAGACCCTGATTTTGAACAAGATGAGATGGCAGACACAAGTGGTGAAGATGAAGAGAAGGGTTACGCAGAGATGGGCGATCGTGAAAACATTGATGGCAGCATGGAAGAAGTTTCATCACATGCAACCAAGTCTAACACATCAATCAGTAGAAGAGAGACAGAAACCTTTGACCAAGGTTTACCTCTGGAAAACAAGCAAAGCCCCATAACTGTTGGGAAATCACAACCAGAGAACATTTCAGAAGAAACACAGATTGCATCAAAGGAAGAAGAGGAATATATGGAGGAAATGACAGATTCTTATGTACAACGAAATAGCAAAGAAATGGAGAACGAGGAGAACATCATTCTTGCTCATAGTTCAGACTGGGCAGCTGCTGACTTTGAAGAGGAAGACAGCCCAGATGAGTCTGAAGAGAACCCTTCTGCATCTGATGACAAGGTTGACAAGGTAATTTTGAATGCTCTTTTCAACACATACCWGTAATATTGTATTTCAAACATTATGTCACAATTAAGTTTACACTTGTAATGAAATTGTCTTGTAAATACTTTCAATTTCATTACAACTTATTTTGTTTTCTCCACACTTAAAAGCAATCTGAAGGTGTCTTTGACACAAAGGTGACTTTAGCTAGTCTGCACTTCTTGCATTTCTCTCACAGGCAGCTTTATACAATGGCCCTTTAAAGTGCCTGTGACATGCTTATCCTTCAGATACAAAACATCAAAGAAAACTTTGTTCTGTTTAAGAAACGTGGCATACCACACATTATTTTAACTGACCTATTTTCTTTTGAACTTGGCTCCGCAAAAGGGAAACAGGAGGTGACATCAAAGGGGAACACCTTCAAGAAAAAAAAAATGACTCACTGGTCTTTGTTTATTGGAACATTATGATTTAAAATCTGACTTTTTATTTTATTTCTGTCTAATAGTGACTTAAAATAATCTAAAACATCAGATTCCTCTCCACAGTCTGAGCTGTTGAGCATTTTAGCTTAGCTCTGTTTTCATGCAGACATTCCCCTTTGACATCACTTCCTGTTGCTTCACATGCAAATATCTCAACTACTGTTCATCTCAGCAGCATGAAAATTATTTTGTAACATGTTCTCAATGTTGTCTTTACAAAAATGCGTTTGTATTAATACAAAAACTTTGATGTCACAGGCACTTTAAGGACAAGAGGTTGGGTTATAGCTCCAAAACGCTCAGCTTTCAGTTATTCCTCTGACAATTTAGACGCCTCTGAAACTCATCCTGGCAGGCACGTCTAAAAGATTCTTTCTCCGGGGTTTGAGTGGCTTTTTATGAGGCCTTTGCTTTGATGTATGCTCAAAAGAACTGTCTGAGGCCGATGAAGTCCCCCCCCCCAACTCTAGAACCAGCGCAGGCTCTGCAGACTGGATGCTTGACTGGATAATCTGTCATCATAAAAGACTGACAAAACAATTTGTCTTGTGATTAGGCCTCTAACATGCACTGCTGTCACAGGTGGCCCCGTCTGGCTCATATGGACCAACGAGGCTCAAAGCGCGCAGGGAGGTGGTGTAGGAAGAGGTACCGAGAATGTTTCTATGGTAACTCCTCACCATCCTGCTCTCTCTCTCTCTCTCTCTCTCTCTCTCTCTCTCTCTCTCTCTCTCTCTGTCGTCATGGAATTAACAGGAGATGGTGATGCTGATAGTTGCTAGGCACCCTCTGTACTACCTTTTGCAGCGGTTTCTAACTATTATTAAAAAGTAAAAAAAACCTCTCTTTTAACTGAAACCACAAAACTCTACAATATTTAAGCTTTTTTCTTTGAAGAGTTGTCTCAAACCATTTCTATAATTCAGTTTTTCCATGCACATATTATACTTTTATGTTTTAAACTTTATGTTTACACAAGCCCTCGTGACTAAACACCAATAATGTAAGGATAAATAATTTGACATTTATACTAAGGATCAGAAAGCCATTGACGCATTACAATCACACACACTGCTTCTAAAGCCAACACATTATTCATCTAATTGAACAGGCTGATCACCAATTAGTCATGTGCCTAACTTATCATGTTGTTTAAATGTTTAACACGCTGGCTGGAGCGTGTTACTGTTAAAGATACAACGCGGATAAAGGGATGTTTTCTGTTTCTTCCTCTCTCTGATTTGTCTGTGAGGCTGGCAGAGGCGTGTGGGCGGCCATACCAGCTGGGATCAGAGGGATGGAGAGAGCTGTTAGCTCACTCTGCCTCTAATAAATTTATAACACCTCCCAGTGTAAAATAGTCCAAGATGCTTGCACGGTTTTGCATTCACACTGTTAGTGGAATTTGAAAGTCAGCAATTAATGATTTTTTTTATTTATTTGTTTATGGCCATCTGTACTTTACATCAACCCTAAGTTGGTCATTTACTTTTTTATTTTTAGTTTGCTGCTGTGATGGAGAAACTTGTGAAATGTGGTGATACTAACTGCACTTGTTTTCCTATTTACATTGTGCTTTTTTTGTCGCTGATTTTTGTTTAGTTTTTTCTTATGTCTTTAAGTTGTTCTTAGTTTTTACTTTGTTGAGTAAAGTGAACAGAGTGGGTCAGCAACCTTAATGAGGCTGACAGGATGAAACACATGCTGTTATGTTTGTAGGAGGTCTCTCTCTCTTTCCCTCTCTTCCTCCCTTCTTCTCTCTCTCTCTCGCTCTGTGCGTGAGCGGCTGTTACTGAAGATACAGCCACTGTTAGCGAGAGCCAGTGAGGCATCTGTATCACATCGGAGATACATTTAAAGAGCGCTTTACCTGGCCTTAAACTAAATTTAGCCACAAGTCATCCTAAGTCAACGCATCTGAAGACAATAGTCATCTCAGAGGGTGAGAAATGGACTGTCACAATGTAAGTAGATGCTTTAAATTAACTTTTGACAAAAGAAAATAAATCATATTTGAACATTTTAAGTTTGTTCAGTGGATGCAGATCTCGATATTTGGGTTATGGACTTTGTCACGAGTGCTGTCAAACTGTTTGCTGCAGCTGCATTTGTTGTTCTTTCTGTTTTAAATAGTTAAAATGCATGGTACAGATTGATAATTTTGTGTTTCTCAAATAGTAAAATATTCAAAACAAATGGGTAAGACGAGGCTTATCATTATAACATTTGCTATAAAAGTGGATAACATTGTGGGAGATGTGTATTGGAAGGTTTAAACTCGATCTTTATCAGATTAAACATCCCAAAACATCCCAAAGACTGTGTGCTGGCAGAACAGTCCTGTGCAGAGGTGTATGTTTGCTCCTGTGAGGGAGCTGGATGCTGGCTGCTCAGTGAGCAGTCAGACAGAGAGGCTAATGAAAGCTGGCCGAACAGGTGGGTGGTCACACTCCTACACTGGAGGGGTTTCACTGGAGACATGACGCTCTGCTTCACCGAGATAGTGGGATGGCAGTGGGTTCATCCTGTGGGATGCCTTTGTATGAAATGTCAGTCTGTGTCCATAAGCACTAAAATATACCTTATCCGTTATCGCCACTTGATTTAAATGGGTGTTTACGTAACGCCTCAGTATCCTTTGGCATTATTCCACTGACAGTTTGTCACAAGCCTGGGTTTCTTTTCCGCCCACTCCACGTCTCCTTTGGGACAGTGGTTTTGGTACTTGCAATATCCGAGTGAGTGGCTGGTGTTGACTGCAGCAACATTTTTTGCTGGATCATCCATTTTGGGCAAAAGCTGAAGAGCAAGAACTTTTTTTGTCTTTTTGTAAAGAATACTTTGAATGTGAGATTTTATTTATTTTAAACTGAGTTGTGTTACTATGATATTAAATCTGTTGATAAATACTCCACCACATATGTAAGTTTTCTACACTGGCTTTGTCTCTGATAAGACAGCTGTTTTCATTTTCAGTTTTTATCGACCCTTTAGACTCTTGATGATTTAATGCTTTCCCTACTTGTCATCTACGATGAAAACAAGCAAATAAAAAATTAAATCCCCAAAGTAAGACTCAATGCAGCAGGGTTTCTTTGACAAAATAAGATGTCATGATGGTGGGTTAACTCAGCAGGCACAACTTACTTGCTGTTAAAAATAAATTGAGGAAATACACATATACAGTTAACTTTACAAAATATGGTCTCGCAATCTGCTAACGATGAAATACTCCCACTGGTGTTTCAGAAAGGGAAACATTATCGCGTTCACAAAATCTGCTTCTCCCGCTGTGATCAACTACTTCTCGGTTGTTTTCCTTTGAACAGGAGGAGTGCAGCCGGCCCCAGGAGGAGGAGGACATCATGGACATCCCACTGGATGACCCCGAGGCTAACAGGGCTGCTGCCAAGATCCAGGCGGGCTTCCGTGGCCACATGACCCGTAAGAAGATGAAGCCAGAGGACAAAACCGAAGGGGAGGAGGTGAGCAGCACTGGGGATGTGCTCAGCAGCAGCCAGGGGGGCTCAGGTCAGTGTTGTAGAGCCAAGGGGTAAGAATAAAGTCCTATAACACTGCTAAAATGGGCATTATGGTTAGTGATTGTACATAGGGTAAGTAAGAGTCCCAACACAAGCCTTATTGTACAAAGTGACTTAAGGTAAGTAGTAAGTTACTGATCTTAAAGTGTCTCAAATAGCCTTGTGGTTAGGTGGCCAAATCTTTTCAGGAGATGCAGTCTATAGCTTTGAGACAAACGTGAGCATAATGCAGAAACACAAACTGATTTATCATTGTACACAATTAAGAAAACAATCCACTTTAAATCCATAAATAATTCAGTACATCTCTTAAAGCTCCTCATGGCTTCACCCAAGTGTGATTAATGTAAGACAAGACTGAGTGACTCATTTAATTACCCCATGGGGTCTACAGCAACAGATGATTGAATCAGTTATTCAGTCTTTTTTTTCTGCTGAAGGGCTTGGATGAATCCACTTTTAGATGTGTTGTTAAACTATTAGAAACAAAAGACGTTTGAGTTGCATTTACTTGGAAAATGTCAAGTTACATTATCGCWACTGAAGCTTGTTTGCTGTCCTTTTATTTTATGCATGACTTTAGATGCAAAGCAATTTAGGCCACTCTTTAAATTGTACAAACTAAAATTTCTGCATGTATGAAATAAGCTTTAGAAAGCCCCAACTTGAGGGGAAATACGTACTTTTTTACAGGCAAATGCTCTAAGTAAATACATTTTTTTAAATTAGTGCCACTAAGTAGTTCTTATCCTGCAAGGCCACTTTCTGTGGGAAGGGTGTGCTCACCACATTTTCCCTAGCCTACTTTCCACCTGCCTCATATCTTTAGGTAGGAGATGTATTTATAGCTCCAGGTGTGTTAGATAACTTATGTGTAAAAGGGCCGAGCATAATTAATGGAGCTGTCTGAATAGAGCCGAGCATTTCCAGCTCCTCCCACTGGGGGAGACCCCCTTTTTTCGCAAGATAAAGGGGGTCTCTGTTCATTGGTCAAATTAGCCATGAAGTTAACGCTCAGTACTTTAAAAGTAAGTTCAGTCTAATTGCATTCACAGAGTATTATTCTTAATATGGTGTGCAGAAATGTGTTTTTTATTTAAATAATCCTTGAACAGTGGCTKAGTGTGCAGTTTCCCTGGGTCAGTAACAAAGTTTGCCTTTTAGTGTAAGATTCTTTACCCTTGACCACATGAATGAATGCAGAAACTGTTCCTGCTAMGTTCTTCATTTGTTAACTTTGCCTCGCCTGTGTCTTTTTTTAGAGACAGGAAGATCGAGGGCAGTAGAGAGAGACYACACATCTGTGCCGGAACAGTGACGCCCCTGTCCTGACCTGGATGGAAAGGAGGAGGAGGAGGAGGAGGAAGAGAAGGAGAGTTTAAGGTAGTGCGAGAAGTTTGGCTTKAGCTGGTTGAGCTGGCTTTCGGGCACACCTTCTTAATCCCACACACCCCACACCCCAACCTGAAGTCATTTTCTTTCTTTTCTTTTTTACACAAGTTAGCTGTAGAAAATGAACAGTTTCGAGGGTGTGTTATGTGAAATTTGTGAACTTTAACACTCCCTCTCTGCTTCTTCAGCAGCCTCATCAGTGCGGATYTCTTTGACCCAGAATTTGCAACTCGCTGCATGTACTTGTGAAACTTCTGGTACTGTGCTAGTTTTTAGACGATGATCTGTGAATGTGAAAATGAATGTCCTCTAAATGCTAAACAGGGCTTCTTTTGAATGGATCAGCGCATATACTCTGTGTGCACACCTTGTTATGCATCACTTTGATCAATTAGTCAATTAGTGCTTTATATTTGTTATTTGATGTGCTTGTATCTTGACAACTATTTGACTTGCCTACAAAAACAATTAAAACTTACAAATCACCAAAAGAGACGTAGCTACGTATGTTGTTTGTTTATACCTATCTCTCTGATCGCACAAGTCTTTTCACAGTTCCAAGCATTTTCTGTAAAATCTGATCTTCCAGAACATTGAGCATGCAGTATTCACACATTTAATCAGATGCATTTTGGTACAGCTTTATGACATATTAGTTCAGTATGCTCTGTNTTTTTTTTTTTTTTTTTTTTTTTTTTTTTTTTGCATTTGGTGGGTTTTACTTGTTTGTCAAAACAACTGTAAGAGTTTCCAGAGCCCTTGTGCTTTAAAAGTAACTGAATAGTACCTGAACTTTGGTGTAGAGTCACAAATAAATCCACTCTAAACATAAAATGTCTGTTTTAAACTTAATTCCAGACTGTGTTTGTTTCAAGCACATATCACCTTTATCTTTGCACTTGGGGGAAATAAAAAAGTGATTATTTTTTTTTTGCACAACGATACAGAACTTAAAGCAGCACATGGGCCTTTGAAACAAAAGCAGAGCTTTAAATTGAAGAAAACATGTTTTGTTAAATATGAAACGATGTTCGGCCTCCCGTGTGGCTCTCTTAAACAAGAAATCTCATGAATTATCCATAACGTAAATGTGTATTTAGCTTTTTCTGTTTCTGTAGCTGCACWAGACAAAGGTAGGCTATTTTGTTTCGTACTAAGAATGTTTATTAGACACCACAGTTGGAATAATAATATTAAACAAAATAAATAAAACTACATCACTAAATGGGTTATCCATAAAGTGTTATATATATACCTTTCTGGTACTTTATAACACAAAACAAGCTGTTTAAGTCACAAAAGTACACCTTAATGTCTCCTCATCTGTCGAGGCTGTCTTGTTGGCTCCATGAGAAGCAGGATAGAGCATCTTCAGTCTCCCAGCGCACCCACTCAGCCCACCCACACACATCTGAGCCACACAGCACACTGCACAAGCTCAGGCTGCACATGCATTCTCACACAGGAAAAACACAACCCATACTTTAGCAGGCAGATRGCACTCAAGTCACTCACTCCTGCTGTCACACACTCATACACACACACATGTACTGACGGGCTGTGTCACCGGCTGCAAAGACAGGACGAGCAACATCTCCTTAGAAGTGGTTTTGCATTGGCAGGGTGCAAGGCGCTTCCTCCTCAGGCTGACATCCCTCCCTTCTCCTCCTCCTCCTCAATCTCATAAACATCCTCTACGGGTTTTATTTGGACCTGTTTTGTTCTCCTACTCAGTCCCAGAGGAGCCGCGGCCACGTTCTGCTGTTTCTTTAATGACTGTGGGTGAGCAATCAATATTATGCACACCTCCAAACATAGCACAACACCCACTTTGTGCTGTAGATTGAATTCTGACAGCGAAGGAAAATACATATTAGAGGGAGAAAAAAATGCCCAGAAAAATCTTATCAGTCAGGACATTATTATTGAAGCTACATGTGAAAACATGCTTCCAAAGCTCATGGTTGCCTTGAACATCTTAAGTTTCGCACTGTCCCTTTGCAGAGTGGGACTATTTTAAGAGTACATCATAAGAACGACCTGCTTGGTTGCTTTGTTCTAATTCTTAGACAGCTTGTCAGTGAGGAAAAGATTTCCAGTCTCCTGGGAGATAATTAGAGATGAATAAGGCAGGACAAACAGCAGGGGGCGCAGTTATCTTTTTATATTTATCCCAGTGGTTCTGCCACTGTCTTAGAAGGAWCTTTTTTTATTTCTAACAGGTTTCACAACTGAGAGAAAGATTTAGAGATTTGCAATGATATTTCCTAGAGAGTCAATCATAACAAAATGACCACTGACAGGCAGAAAGAGTAACTCAACTCATCTCTTTAGTCATCTGTTATAAACACAACAATGGTTTCCGTCATAAAGCATTCACTTAAAGCTGTCTGAGCCTCACAAGTTGCTCCCCCCATCTCCCCCTCTGCAGGCTGCAAAAGTGTCCCACTCGATCCAGATCCCATTAGAAGATGAGAGGAAGGGCTTTTAGCGAGGGCAGAGGTGGGGGGGAGAGGTTGGACTTTGATGACTCACTACACAGAGACTGGAACCCCTAGGAGYACTGGTGGCTCCCACTCCCACTGTTAGCCCAGCTTCCTCCTCCACAGAGAAGTGGTCTTTGTTTGTCAAACAAAATGCTGTTAAACAATGTTAAAAAAAATACAATAATAATAATCCACCACTCATAACAAAAGAATTTTCTGGAGGTGGGCAAGATGACTTGTAATGCAGCTGACTCATCAGAGTGCGCTGGCTAATCTGGAACATCAAAGGCTGATGTAACATCTGGCAGTTTTACACATGGCATCACATCTGAAATAATGAAATCTGACGAACTTTCAAAACAATCTTGTTGGCAGAGAGGAGAAACATGCAAGGCTCCTGAACCTTTAAATCATATTCTTGTGTTTTACCAACTTGCACCCACTTTTCTTCCCTGGAGAGAACTTGATGTTTTTCTTTAGCTTCACGTAGCTTTAATACGAAAACACAGCCAAGAATTGTGAGGGCTTTGATACGTTCCCTCCTACTGGTTACCTTTAACTTTCAAAAAAAAAAATCATTTGTTGCCTGACTACAGCTTCTACGCCACCTAAAGGACAAAATAGATGCAACATTCCTAATTAGTCTGTTTTGCAGTGCCACTGATAAAWCTCCTGATAAGCTGAAGACTGGCACCAGAATGTGGTTTCAAAGTTTTATGTTCAAAGTTGACAGGAGGGTTGGTTCATAAAAGATAAACCAAGTTTATTGGACGGGTCCAATTCAAAGGAGAGTTTAACAATGTGACTAAAATGGGGCAAAGAGGGGGGCTTTAAGTGGGTTCCTCTCAAAGCTGCTTACTCAGCTGAAGTATTTTTGCAAAGTAGCAGAACTTAAGTTTTTGATTGCTCCCTTTGAGTTAATTGTGTATGTTCAGAAGCTTTAAAAGATAACAGAAATACAAAGTTGCTTTTAATAATATCTATATAGATTTAGTTCCTTTTTTTAAAGGGGCAAAGTTGAGCAGAAAAAAGGGCAGATCCACAGTGTGTCTCTGTCTCACAAGAACCCCCACACACACATATATGCACACACACACAGTTGGCTGTTGTTGGCTGTGATGACTGGGGTGCTGCGAAGAGAGTGGGGCTCAGTGGGACCAGGCAGAGGCCAGTGCAGCAGGCAGGCAGGCAGCGGAGAGTGCTGAACCACAGAGACGTGCCCGGSGTGGATAAACCATGTTCTCTAAGCGGGAGAAAGACTCAGCCCAGGACACAAGATGAAGGTGGAGAGGAAGTCCTCCTCTACAGGCAACAGTTTCAGAGGCATCCCTCRACTGCTGACACTCTCTGGCCTCGTCCTCCTCGTCTTCTCAGGTAGGTCCAAACATTTGTTAGAGAAGCAGAAAACARAGATTACAATACATGAACACTTTTTAAACTGTAAAATTAACCAAAACAAAGCCTGACTGTTTTTTTTTAACTTTTGCTGCTGAGTACAATATAGCTTACTTATGTTTGCAACACTAATCTCAAACAAAACTAACTTACTTTTCTAAAGGAAGTCATCTTTCAGCTTAAATTGGTCTAAAATGTTTGTGTCATTTGTGCTCCATGAACTGGCAGTTGAATGGATTTGTTCAGTGTTGTGTAAAGTACCTGAAAGTGATACTTGAGTAAAAGTATGATCTTATCATAAAAATACTTTGGTAAAAGTTAAAGTCTTATCTAAGAATATTACTTGAGCAAAAGTCTTAAAGTATCTGATTAAGTATCAAAAGTAAATTTCTGACACAAAATGTACTCAAGTAATAAAATTAAAAGTATTGAGTAAAAGTGAGCAGTTAGATTTTCCAAAATGACATTTATTGGGAGGTGACCTCCCCAAAAAACTTTTTTCTAGTGGCGTGCAGCTGTAAWGGATTGTGTATAAGCTAATAGGGTGTCAGAGTGGTATTTATACTTATCATCTAACCACAATTAAATTCACTTGATTCAGGAGATACAATTTATCAGGATTGTGTTTTTTTTATAACAACTAGGAATAAATTAGGAGTAACGACTTTCTACTTCTTACTTTTAAAAAAAATGTAAGGAGTAGAAAGTACAGATAATTGTGTAAAAATGTAATGATTAAAAGTAAAATGTACGCTGAAAAATAAATTTCTACTTAAGTACAGTAATAAAGTGTTTGTACGTAGTAACTTTACAACTTTGGATTTGTTCATGGGTGYTTCTCAACACTGAGCTCTTGCTTGAAGCTGAAAAGAACCTGAAGAGGTGATTGAGAGCGAATGGGGGACTTTTAGTTTAAAGAGTGACGTTTATTTAATTTGATGGTTTTTTAAGTCTCATAGTAAGAAGAGCTGTAAACCAGGCAGAGTTCGGCCTTCGTTTCACTGAAGCTTTTTGACGTTCATTCAAGAGAAATAAAGATAAAAAGTTAAAAGTTGAAACGGGACAAACAGTGTGTTCTGGTTTCACAGCAGTACCATGGGTCCAGTTTACCCAACCGGCAGAATAACTG